ATAGATTTGTATGCAGGGAAGCCAAGTTGAGATAGGAAAATATAGCAATCCCTTATTTCCTCTCCAATTTGTAATGACATGCAGCAGTAACTAAGAACTGGCTGCCCATTTGAACAAGAAAACTGATGTATTAGAATGAAAATTGTAAGTTTGGAAATAAGGTAATATATATAATTATAATTATGCATAAATACTTGTATCTAATTTCATTTAACTTCAGAAACATGTTCTACATCCTCTCAACTTATTGTGATTGCAGCTTGGTTGAATTGAAGGGTAGGGATTGTCTCAGTTTGTAAGTTGTAGAAAGGTATAGTAAAGGAGATTAGAGGAATAGAATGAATATAGATTTGTATGCAGGGAAGGCAAGTTGAGATAGGAAAACCAATTCAGATTATGATATGCTAAATCAAGTTAATTCAAGCATTTCACTAAAATTCATAGGTAATTATAATTTAGGCTGTGTATACAAGAGAAAAGTTCAAGGCGGGCTTATAGGCTCATCGCAAGGTTGACCTGACGACTAAGGTGAGATATTCAAATGCTAAATTAAGAAGAAAAAAAATGCATGCAGAACGCATGCTTGCTATTGCCTCCATTTATATACCTTCATATTATATATTTGCATTTAGATTTTTCATATTGAGCACTATTGATTATGATACCTCAGGTTAGTTATGTAAATGATTATCTGCTCATTTCCTGCGTATGGTATTATTATAGAAATGCAATAGAAAGTGCCAATGGCTGATTTTATTACTGGTCATAATATATTCCTGGTGTGTATTAGCAAAGTGATTGGTTGAAGAAAAGCTCAATTAAGAACTAAATGCAAATAAACTAATTACAACAGATAAAGATGATCAAAAGAATATCATGTGTTGTAATATGAAGATTGTTTTACTGATGACCCGCATAGAGAAAAGCAATATTCTAACAAGATGAGCTTTGGTTAGATAAATGATTGAATTCTTGACTCTTGATATTGAAATTGGAGTGAATCATTTGTTATCAGGGCATCGTTGATAAGTGTAATGCTGGAATGATTAACACTTATCAGCAATTATCATAGCAGGTGGAATAGGTGACCACCCAAAAATATAAGATGCTCACAAAGTCTATGCAAATATAACATGACATTTCTAAGACAAAATCAGGAGAATAAGAATAAAAATACAAGTAATACAATCGAATAAATGACATTGCATATTGTAGAGCATAAAACAATTACCGGTAGCTACTTTATTTGTTTTTTATCACTACATTCTATACTGCTTGTAGTAATATTTTCTATATTTTTTAAGCATGTCATTTTATTTGCACTATTTTACTCATCTTAGCAGTTGAACATGTATACAATTTTTTTATCATATATTGAATCTTACTTTCACATTATTTATCTCACTAAAATTGTAACTTATCCAATATTATTATGTTGCTTTTCAGGAAGGGGGTAAGAAACATTTAGTTTTTTAGACATGTGATCTGTCTTTCGTATGGCTTTTGAATGTAAAACTTTTTATGATTATGAAAGACTTTTGAGGTATATGTAAATTTATATTTTAATAGTTTAACAGCTCTCTAAATTATTTGAGAGTTATTCTGGTACCCTTCTCAGTGAATGTTTGATATGGATGGATAGTTGATGAATTAAAGTGTAATAATTGCCCTGACACAATTTGGTAAAACTAATTTTCTCCTCACCTGATACCAATGAGTGCACTTCATGATGGGTGTCAGTGAAAATTATATCTAGTTGAGTCGTCCTCCTTTGCTACACCTCAAGCCGACCTGAGAGATCTAACTGGGGTGTAACAGAGACTACTTCCTTCCCCCTCCTCTCCTTTGTTATTCCTTGCTTAATCTAGTAACATCACTTAAAAAGTAATTATTCAAGTCAAACTGGCCTTCTTAGTATGGAAACCAGTTTCCACAAAACTGTGTACATGTCCATCATCTTGTATGATTTTCACACACAAAATCATACGATTAATTTTCTTATACAGCATAAAAATTGCATATGTATCAGATCACTTAGTTTTCATTATACATTAAGAAATAAAAAACAAATGGGTAAAGTAGAAGGCATAATGGAAACCCAATTGAAAGTAGAATTTAAAACGTTAAGAACCATATATTGTTTGTTTCTTTGCTATGAGCAGCAAAGAAAGGAATTACAGTTGGAAATGCAAGAGACAAAATACAACCTAGTATCATTCAAAAGCTGCAAGTCAAAGAAAACAACATCCTCAATGATGCAGGGCCCGGGTCATCCTGCGGGACGCAGAACACCCGCGATTCTGCTATTGTGGAACTCCCGCAGTTCAGTTGTTTGCGGATCCCACGATCGCGGGAGAACAGGTCGACAGCTTTTTTATTTTATATTTATTTTTTTCTCAAATTTCCTTCTATTTTTCTTTCTTTTCTCTGCCTTTCTAGCTTAGATTTATGTATTTTGAGTTTATTCTCTAATTTTCTGCTCTCCAAAGTGTTATATCATTATCTTATAGCATCAAGTGGTATATATGTAACTTGCTCAGGAACAAGTGGTGGATCTTCCTTGCTGCACACACCGCGCCATTTTGCAGTTTACTCACTGCAAATGATGTTTGACAGCAGCAAACTACTGTTTGGCAGCAGGAAAACAGCAATTTTCCGCTTTCGGTTCGCTATCATCCCGTAGTTCACGCTGTGATTCTGTTGTCATCCATTCTTCCACTAAAGATGCCCATCCTACAATTTCCCTAACTTTTTTTTTAACAATATATAGTATCAGAGCCTGACAAACTTTAAATTTTCAAAAAATTTATCTTCCTTTATTCCCAACCAAATTTTCAAACAACTATATATATTTCCCAGCATGACTCATCTTACCCTACCCCTAACTCTAGACAATAATTTCTTTTTTAGCCAAAATTGAAGAATGAGACGTCATGCAGCCGATATGAAACCCTCAACGAGATGCTCAAAAGATCATTATACAGGATATGCAGCGAGAAATCCTCTAACTACAACAAAAGCTTACTGCTTTAAAACGAGACAACCTAGTGATATCACCCATATCCATAACGGTAACTTGCTAGATAGAGGAAAAGAAATGAATCACTTCCACCAAGAAGCTTCCAGTGACCAAGAGCTAATGTTTCCTCAATTAGGAATAGAATAAAAGAAGATATCAGGATCTTAGAGTAAAGGAAGACTTGGTAGATTTTAATGATCGCATGGACTTAGACGACTTTATCAAAGTAGCTCCAGACAGTGGAACAAATTTTTTAGTACAACGATATTCCTCGGGATAAAAGAGTTAAATTAAAAGTCATCAAACTCAAAAAGAACGCTTCCTCGGGGTGGAAAATTTTGAAGTGCCTATGCTAGAGCGAGGAAAAAAAAATCACTACATAATCCAAGACGAAAAGGGAGATGCAATACAGGTGCCTACCAGAACATTACAGATATGAAATGTTTTTGAGACTTCATTCTTTACAACAACAAGATCTCTTAATAGAGTACACTTCTAAGTTTCAGCAGCTTATATTGAAGTGAGCAAGCTCAAAAAGAATATCATAGTTTGATCTGAAGGATTAAGACTATCCATTAGTAACGTGGCATAATTATAACCCTATTGAACATAACAGAATGTCCAGACCCCAACACTAAAAGTAGAGAGACAATACAACAGTATCAAGTTTATACCACCCTTTAGACAGAGTTCAACCATCAAATTAAACAACAAGAGCACGCCCAATGAAACACCTAAGCTGAAATTACATTTAGGGAAATCTTTTTAGATGTTTTGTGGGAAAGAACATCAAAAAGTGGGATTTGGTTCTCCCTCAAGTGGAATTTGCCTGCAATAGTTTTGTTAGTCAATCCATAGGTCATAGCTCATTTGAAATTATATATGGACGAAACCCTCTCATACTATTGGAGTTAGTACCGATACAACCACTATTGAGCATAGTACTGATACTGAGATTCGAGTCAAGTATATTCAAACCCTACATGAACAGGTTAGAAAGGAAATTGCTAAGCAAAGCTTCAAGTATCAATAATAGGCTAACAAGTCCAAGAAAGCTATGATTTTTGAGGAGGGAAAAATCGTGTGAATCAGGTTGGAGAAGTGATTTCTTGAAGGAAATTGCTAATCATATATCCTGTAGCCTTGACTTTTAAATAACACTTATATAACTAGAAGATAAATATTAGATTAAAAGGGATTGATTTGGATTTATAGTCACTCAATATTCATCTACATATTATGATTTGGGGATGTTTGAGAGTTTAGACTAGAGGAAAATCAAAGTTGAGCCTGATAAAATATCAGTCATTTTAATTCAAAAGCCTAAACATAAGGGTGAGGGCCAACTCCTGTTATTATTATGTCGACATACATTAAAACTATCGAATGTGAGACTAGCATACTTTTCCCACTTGCCTAATAAATCTCTTCCCCGCATGAGAGGCCTTCATAAAAGCCACGTTTTTAACTCAAATATAAGTTTTGGCAACAAAATCACGCAACAAAAGCCCAATCAATCATAAAATGTCGGAGTCGCTCATAAAATTTGTTCAATTATGTAAAAAATACCAAAGACCCATGAAAAGCATGCCTACATAATCACTAGATCCTACCTAGTTGAACCATCAGCTTTTGAGAGTGCGGACTAATGGTGAATCATGTTGAGTCTAGTAAGCCAATTATTAAATCCTTTCAACCCAAAAACTTAGCCTAATGCGGTGGTTCAACAACTATTACTTCGATACCAATATAATTTTAAGATAGGGCACTTACATACATACTCCACAATTCTTATATATTTACATGTCTAACACCTAAACTATAATATTTACAGACATAACACTCAAATCTTTGACATCACATCAAAAATAACACTATCATAAACTTTTAAAAGTGAAATACACATTTTCATGCATAAGTTTTTAATACCATGTAAATATCAAACTTTAGATTCAATATGTAAATGCATAAGAGTTGTGTGGTCTGTCTTTAAATTTACTCCTAAGATACTCAAGGTGGGAGTAAACTCAAGAATATCATGTGTCTAACAGAACATGCATGTCAGATTTATCTATTGTTCAACTTCCCAATGATTTGTAGTGTCGTTGCAAGGTACAGAAGGTGCCATTTTTCTCATCATCTAAGCATAAACTGGTTTAACATCACCTCTATTTCTACAATACATATAACAGTGAAGGCTTAGGTACCCACAGAATCAGATAGTTGATCTTTAATACAAGTCATTGATCTCAACATTGCTTCCAGAGTATCTCTTGAAAGCTGGAACTTCACTTCCACTTCGTCCAAATGGGATTTAGTACCATCATGCAACTACAGCACCAAAAAGCGTACAGGAGAAAAGAAGGATAAGTTTTGCAACAGAAACAAAAAAATGAACAATAGCAAAAGCTACTTTGCATAAACTTTAATAAGCTTTAAGGAAAGCGTAGCTATTAGATTGGATTTTCTGTTCATGTATAACACATACATTTGAAAAATATAAACTACGCTTCAAACTTGGTTTGCCATAAAAAAATTATTAGTATAGTTACATGAATACATTACCTATTAGGTCTACCGTAATAAACTCTAAGCACTATACAAACTTCTTCTAAGAAGACAACGAAAATCTAGAAAACCATCTTAATTACAAATACTTTATCAAGAAGAGATTCATGATAATGACTTGCGTCAAAAATAATTGTGGACCAAAGAAAGAACAATCAATCAAAAAAGTTTGCATAAAAAATTAACATAAAAGGTGAATTTGTTTTTTTATGTAATGAATATGAAGACGTTCACGATGCATTACATGAACCAAAGTCAAGAATCAAGCCCACATCCAAGACTAGATTGAGCCGGAATAGTCCATGGACGTAAATCCTATATAAGGTTATTTTCATTATATTTAAAAGACAGTATCCTTTTGGACATTTTATTATTTTAAATGAACTTAAATCTTTATACTTCAGCATAATACTTTATTATCACTTGTATTCACTGAAATGTAATGGAAATTCCAAGCTCACGGTGATGGAATTCCGTACAAATTAAAGTGAATTTGTAGGTACATAGAAACTTAAATCTTGATACTAATTAAATAAGAACAAACCATTAAGGTTGCAGACCTGTTCTTCCTTACATTGCAGAAGATATGAAAATATTCAGTAATTAATATCAGAAACTAACCTCGAAACTGCAATTTTAGGCTATGTTCTACTGGCAGAACTGATCCAGTACGCGGTGAAGAAGTCTTTTTCTTCAACAAAAAGCTTAACAAAAAACTGTTGACTGTACAGAATACTTGCCTTCAAGGTAATGATTGAATAGCGATTTCCAGGTATTGAATTCCTTAGTTCCATGCTCCAAGTCATGCACTTCAGCCGGAGAAGAGTTGCCTGCACTGACAAACTACATTAAGCAACTAAGAACCTTTATTTATGACAGGTAGTTCCATGTATCAAAAATGGATACATTCAATAGGCTAATACTTATTTGTAGTGTGAGTTTGCACATGACGAATCAAAATCAATTTAGATATAAATCATTTCCTGTGTCAAATATTTTAAGGTTTATGACTTCTAATATAAATTCAAAAAAGGAAAAAAGGTTAGAATGCCCTGATACAATTCCCAGCACAATCCTATCAAAATGTGACACCTGGCTTTTAAAAGTCAAATCGTAACCATGTGTTTGATTAATTCATCTTAGACAAAAGATATATGCAAAAATGAACATCTTTATGGTTATTTTGAAGACAAAATATTAAATTTTAAATGCAATTGTATCAAATTTTAAAACAGTTGTGCCCATAATTTCTTTTTTTGGCATAACATACAAAAAAAATAAAAATATTTATAGCAATTTCGAACCAAAATGATAAATTTTGAAGACATGAAATATGAAAGGAGACAAGGAGAACAATATTTCATTGATTCATATCATTTTTAGGCTATAAAAGCTTTCCTATTAACTGGTAAGAAGCGCACGTGCAGTAACACGCACACACGCATGCAGTGGGTGATGTTAATTTGTAAGCAACCATCCAACTCTCAATAATTTCAATGGTTTAATGTATCTGGGATTTAATTTTCCTTGTTGGCCAAATCAAAATTTACATTTCATTACTCTAACTTACAAAAATATATACTTTGGACATCAAATTCTATTATTTTATACTTAGAATCATAATACTTCTACTGACACTCATGGACCGATTTCAATAGGTATATGATAATCACGTCACACTAACAAGTTGTTAATGTCTTGACCAAAGCTCTTCCTTTCAACGACTTCTCAGAATTCAATACCAAGCTTGGCCTCTACAACATCTACGACCAACTTGAGGGGGAGTGTGGGAATCTCATATTTGGTTCTTTTCATATTTACCTCTCATATGGGCTAGCCACCACCAAATTTTGGAGGATTTGATTGGGATATCCTAGGAAACCATTGATTGGTTTCTTCTCTTCCTATTTTAGGTTTTTCTATTTTTTATTCTAAATTATTTTTTTCCTAATTTAGGTAAGATATGTTTCGTAAGTTTGTAAATAAGGAGGGATTGATTTCCCTACGTATAGGTACCTTGTTTATGAAAAATGAATGAAGGAATTTTCCTCAAGTAAAATCTACATAATTTGATACAATTTAGATGATGTTGTTGTGATAGTTATATATAAAATAATATAGTACGACATAATGAATATTTTGAATTTGCTTGAATGGTCATATTTCAAAAAATAAACTATTAATGCTTCTATACTAGTTTATTAATATTATTTATTTTTTGTTATGTTACTATAATTTAAAAGTTTAAAAAATTCACTGTTATGATAACTCACAAGAATTTAAACTAATAATTTCATATATAAGACGAGCTAGAAAATGAATACAAGAAGAGATAATATGACCACTTAAAAAAAAAATTCACAAATGTTTTTATTTTTTAGTTAATTTAAATTACATTATTAAGTGACTATTTCAAGTTATTAGATTAAAAACTATCAGTGAAAAAAAAAGTAAGAAAATGAATATCGCCTTCCAAATGTTTGTTCCCATCTTGGAATTTTCATGCCCCATATAGGCTTGGGAGGTCAGTGATGAAAGCTCTTATATTGTACTTTTTTATAATGTTTGGGGCATTTACATGCAGTTTTATTTCTGCTCTTATATTGTCCTAGTGCTTTGCAATTATATAGTGGGGACAATATATAGTGGGGAAAGCTTGGTAATGTTGTTTGGTACATTTCTATGGGGTTTTCTAGATTCCTTTGATGTTGAATCTAACAGTGCAAATGAGTTTTATATTTTTGGACGGTAACTCTCCTGTTAACTGGCTTGCAAAGCCATGCACCCCCTCATATATGCCACCCCCTATTAACTGGAATGGGGCTTCCTTTGATGCTGAATCTAACAGTGCAAATGGTTGCTACACTCTGCCCTCTGTTATTTCGTTTCTTTAGTTGCTCATTTATGCTTATCTAGGAGCATGTGTTTGCATGTGTTGGACGGATTTATGAGTCTCCCGAGTTGTGTTGTGTTACTGTGGACTGCCGCCTTCCTTACTTACATCACGCCAGCCTCATATCAGAGGGAGACAGTTCTACGGTTGTTATAAGGGTCTTTTAGCACGACGCGGTTTCTTCCGTTGGGCCGACATTCCGACAAACTCCCATGCCGACAGTGATCGTGGTACGATGGTTTCACAAGAGGACAGTGCCGCTGAGGACAGGCGACATCAGAGTTTTAAATTGAACATTTTAATTTGTTTACTTTTAATTGTAATTGTATTTCTTCTTATTTTAATTTTTTTTATACTCACGAAATGATCAGCAATGTATTTTAATTTTTGCAACTAAACTGAAATAGTTTGAGACATTTGTTTTACCTATTATTGTCCATATATAGTTCTGTTGCAAACAGGCGCAGAATGGTCATTTATCCAACAACAGCTCCTAGTAAGCTGTTCTGAATAAGTTGTTGTTGACCTCATTTCTGGATGAGGTCTTTTTTGTCTCTCCTTAGAGCCTAGGGTCTAGCTTTAGGCTTTCCCCGTTCGACTCTCTTAGAGGACTAGTACAGAACCCACATCATTTAGAAAATTCAAGCCACTTCGTCACTCCTTCGAGTTTCGCATGGGCGGTCCCAAATCCTCGGCATTCAGTCTACTCGATCAG